AAGTAAAGGAAAACTTTACAATGTAGTACAAAGCAAACAGAGTCGATCCCTACTTGAACTTTTTGCACCAACCATGTACATTATAAAAGCATAATCCTTTTTCATTGTTATATACGTCTTATTATCTACATTGTCTTCCTTTATTACTCTTTTACTCTTATCCTTACTATTACTGTCCTTCTCTGATATATTCAATTTATTTTCCTCCGTTCTTTTTAATCTTTTATCTTTCTTGAAAAATTTATCTGGTCAACTCAAACTTCATTGAAAATTCCCTCCATAGTCCATCTCATGCACTTCAAAGGAAAATATCAAAATATTTTGTTTTCTACAGTATTTTTCACATATTACTCCCTTACAAGTTCTCCCAACAATTTTTTTCCATATCTTTTATACAAGAAGAATATTGACCCGTGTTCGCACAAGGTATCCCAAACCATTGGCTTTTGCATTACAAAGTGTCTTCTAAGCGCTGACTGGTGTATCGCACAAGTGTGAGACCCACTGACATGACAAATTACATTACCAATAAAATAAACATTTCAAAAGCTAATACAAGCAAAGCAAGCAAATAGCCCAAGGAAAATCATATCTATCAAATTTCACCACTATTTATAAACTACTGACTTCCTACAAAATTATATATGATTTTATCAAAATTTCACATATCTATGAAAAGCACGATTATCCCAAGGTTGCACAAGTGTGCATCCCAATTAAATGAATAGCAAAATCCTTGAGAGTGGCATCTCCGTCGCCCTACCAAGAAACTAAAATCTAAAAACATAAAAAAAAAAAAAAAAAATCAACTGGTTTCTACAAAACTTGTTTTACTGTTCTGTTGCCCATCCAGTGACAACCATTGCCATAAAGGAAGCAAAAGATCTTTGGTGTGGGGAAGCGACCACGTGGGGATAAAGACCCCTGGCACTGACGTCCAAGGAAGAAGCCACTTGAGCCACAGCTCTTGGGCAACATTCTTCTTTACCACATTCCCAGCCTCCAGTGAACTTCATATATAATGAGAAACAACCAGTTATTTATACATCTAGGGTGATCTATATCCAGCCCCCGTGTAAAAGGAAAGCCTCTACTTTGAGGATTACGAGTCATAGTTCAGTGTCTACGAATCAATGTGTTCATTTAGCTGTAAAATGTGCTGTGAACATGTGTTAATGGCATTCTTCTTTCTCTCTCTCCTCCCCCCCCCCCCCGGGGATCAGAGGGTATTCTGCTTTCTCAAGTGATTTGAGCGTCCAGTTTTTCCGTCTATCTAGTGATATATTAACAAAATTATTAACCATATCTTCAATGCATCATAGTCTTCCCTAACACAAAAATTTAGGATAGACCATGACCTAACCATTAAAAAAAAAGAAAAGAAAAGGAAAACGCGAGCGCACTTCTGCACATTTGTCTAAAGAACCAAAAAAATAAAAAAGAAAAACGGAAACGCTAATACTGAGCCACTGACTTCTTCGCATATTATGCCTCCCTTTGCTTCCAAGAAAGAAAAGATCACCAACTACTGATATTTGGCCTCTAAGTATTTCTATAGCTACTCTACTCAAGAGTACATCTCTAATGTTCATTCAAACCAGGCTATAGATACTCTTGCATAAACCGAAGAACTTTGTGATCAAATTATTGGTACAATTCAAATTCAAATGTGGGTTCTTCAGCATAAATTCTTATATATTCTATCACATATATTTTCATTTTGTAGACATTGTCATAAAGTAGGTTTAAAAAAGATGATAAGAGAGATCTAAGCAACTACAATAAAGCATACAGATTTAAACCTTAGGCAATTGACGGATCCGATGCTGATTGGTACTGTTCTGCAATGCGGCTGCCTCTTCTTCTCGCATCTCATCAATATGACGAATAGACTTTCTACTTGATTTTGGGCTTCCTCTAAAAACTAACATTCTAAATGGTCTACCTTCTGAATCCAAATTCAACTTCTCATCTACTTTCTGCCTGTACTTTTGCTGTCATGTAATTTGGGAATATTCAACAATTCAAACAGGCGAAAGAAAAAAGCGATTCTAATGTCCAGAACAGAAGTTTCATGGCATGCAAGAATCACTATAATCTCGAAACACGTCAGCAGCATCAGATAATTCTCAAGTAGACAACACGACACGACCCACGTGAAGAATCTTTTGCAAATTTTGGAAAAACCGAGATAATACGAAGACCATGAAAATTTAAGAAAGAGAAACGACGGGGAAGAGGAAACGAATGAGTGAAAGTTTTCTAATTTTCATTTTCTAACTCAATGATACATTAATATTCAGTAATACATTCGGCTGTCTTTCTTGAGCTTTAAAAATTAATTATTACAGAAACCACTAAATGAAATAATTTTAAAAGAGAGGAGTAGAGGAGAATATACATCAAAACGTGGATTTTGAAATTTCCTGGTCCTATTCGTCAACAAACTCTGCGCTTGATCAAGATCCATCAAACTCCTGTTGGGTATGAAGCGATCACCCTGTACAAGAATCCCAAAGACCCAATAACAATGTGAGAATAAATAAATTATATGAGAATGAGAGCAATGTTTAGTTGACGTACCGGAAAGTCGTAATGAGCGGGGCTGCTGAGGAGGCTTTTCGGAGAATACCAGTCAGAATCAAGACTCCACATTGTTGCTTGATTTGACAACCCTCTTTTCCTTATAATAATCCTCGAGGAGAAGAAGAAGAAGAGTGTAGCACTCTCAGTGGCTCTCGGACGATCTCCCGCCAAATGGAACGCCCTTTTAACCGTTTGCGAGCGTGCGAACCGTTGCTACTGTTCAAGGCAGAATGGAATTTTTGTGAGAGCTGGGGTAGGCAAATCGAACAAGAGGAATTTGAATCTCTTTTTTTTTTTTTTTAGCTTCCTAAAACAAAATCGGCCATAACGGATATATTAGTAGAAATATTGACATATTTAAGATATTTACATTTAAAATAGTTGCTGAAAACTTGAAAGAAATAACGATAAAAAAATTTTTCTCCAAATTTACACATCTAAAACCGGAGTAATATAAAATAAAATATATTAATCGGGTTTTGAATAATAAAACAAATGCTGCTCGCGAATGAAACCAAAAGACTCATTTAGTGTGGTTTAGATAAAACAATGTCAAGGCAAGCATGTTCATGTACCTCTAATTTTTAATTTTTATTTTAATTCTAAATATAAAACATTAATATATTTTTTATTATATTTATTTATTTATTTTAAAAATCATCCTTGTAATAATAGTAGTTCTAACAAATACATTTGATTAACAATTATATTTTAGAAAAAATAATATTTATTTATTGTATATAATTAACTTAACTAATATTTTTAATCTATTTAAATTAATCAACTACCTCTGCAATTACACTCAATGTAAAATATTTTGGTCAAAATGGTTAATATTAATATAAAGGGTTAATATCATTTAGTCTCTAAAATTTGATATTATTTTGATTTTAGTTCCAAAAATTTGAAAGTAGTGGTTTTTGTTCTTGAAATTTGACTTTACTTGAGTCCACCTAAATTCAAAGACCAAAACTACCGGCTCCAAATTGTAGAGACCAGAATTAAAATGAAGTCAAATTTTGTAAACTAAAAATAATATTAACCCTAATATAAATTCTAAAATTCTAAATTTCGGAAAAAATTCAGATAAATGGTTAAAACCAAACTATAAGTAATTAAATTCCAAGAACTCAAAATTCAATTTGTAAGCAATTCAAAATTACAGGGATCAAATTATCTTATCTGCATAAAAAATAAAATAAAAATCATGTTTTTAGGTAATTAAAAAGCAAAAAGAAAATCTTAAAGAAGTCCTTGCTAAACAAATTTAATTGTTAATAAGTCTCATCTTGAGGAAAATGTCAGAAGAGGAAATGTAAACACCACATATTGAGATGCAAATAAAATATACTTTTACTTCTAATGCTAAATATAGAAACTAGGTGGGAGTTTGTTTTAATCTTAAATGTAAAGACCCAATTTTTGATATCTCATATTTATTATTTTTCTCAAACCATCTCTATAATTAGATTCTTATATGATGTATAAATTATGTTGACAATATTTCAATGCAAAAGATTAAAAGAAATGATGTTTTAAGAAAACTTGCATATATTTTTTCTTATAGATAACTAACTTAACTTTCTCAGTTTAAGAAAACTTGCATATTTTTTTTTTATAAATAACTAACTTAACATTCTCAGTATATATAAATTTGTAAACTCCTACATTTAGAATAACAAAGAGAAGTAATTAAATCCTTCACCTGCCACTTCCTTGATTTTCCTTTTTGGCCAACAATAAAAGAAAGAAAACTTCATGTTTATACCTAGAGGCCTAATTTCAAAGCGCAATTAGATAAACATGAGATTTCATACGGCTCAGGTTAACCCAATCTACCCTTTTAGGGCTGATTAGAGTGGGCTAGTCTATTATCTACTTAAATTTAAATGAAGCGAATCCTCGCCTAATTTCATAGAAAAGTCGGCATCCCTACCAAACACGGCAACAGAATTAATGGGCAAATTGAAGTCTTGGATTATGTTGGATCCAAGAATATACAAGTTACAACAATACAAGGCCACCGCACTGAAACACCGAACGTTATTGCCAAAGATTACTGATCAAGTGATCACTAGCATATATATATTAATGTGATCAGATATTGATATTGATGATGGTTTGTTTTTTTTTTCAAATTCCAATACCCACAAATTACCTGTAGAATCCCCAGTTCTGATCGGCTGATCAATCGCAAAGGGCTTAGCAAAAACTTATGGTCTGGTCTTCCAAGTTCCAACCAGGATTTCTAATCATCACTAATAGAAAATAATCTACAAGCTAGCGCTTAAAGAGTTGCCAGTGTAATCAGTCATGCAATCCCAACACTTCAGTTGAGATCGTTTCTGACCCAGAACCGGAAGCTACTGACATAATTTTGAATTTCTGGGGAAACTATTGAACTACGAAATAGGTGTGTCCAATGTCCATCGTTCATTTATAACAAATAATCTTCACAGTTAACTGAAATGCCAAGAACAGATAAATTTAGTAAAGTTGTCAACCTCTATCTATAGACCACATCATTCTATAGACCATATCATTCATTTAGAGAAGAAAAAGGGTATGACATAACTGCTGGCATGCAAATGAAGATTCAAGTCTCTTGTCCCACGAAAAAGAAATGACTATCATGACAACTAAGTAACAACATGAAGGTCTCCTAAATATGGGCATCTGTTAATTTTGAACCGGGCCCTAGTATGGCCTGTAACGTGTCGGACGCCTATACCTCGGAAACCTCCTGCACAGAACAAAGTTTCATCGTCACATAAAACATGAGGATTAAGAAGAGGCAGAGATGATAGATATTCGATAATCTATCGGACCAAACAATGAAAGACAGAATTATAGCAATTGGAACCAGGGGCCTGTTCAGATACTGGTCCTGAGATCAGTTTTGTTTTCAGAACCCAAAAACAAAAACAATAAGACATGTTTGGGAAAAACTTCTGAGAAGATGGCAATCATTATTATGGTTTCATAGAGGCAAACAAATAAGAGGGCAAAGATGTACATAATATATACAATCTATTCATCTCCCATAAACATTTGATTGCAGACCAAAGGAAAACATGGGGTTAAATGGGCTGTGGCAACTGGAATGCATCAAAACATAAGATCCCAAACTTTGCCCACATGCTTATCTGATTTCAAAGAAACGTTAAGCAGATAAGAGGAAAGACACCCAATCAGAAAAGCATATGCATCTATTACATATTGATGAAATTGAATCAAGTATAATATTATACCAAGCAAAATGCATTTACTTTATTAGACATCAGAATTCAGACAAAAAATCACAGAATAAGATGAAAGAGCCCAAGCAAATATAGGTCATGTTTTAATTGGAAATGTCAAAGCTTCCCTCAGTTTCTAGTAACGAAAGACCAGAGTAAGTTTAATGCATTATTTACCCATAACCACCATATGGAGGATAGAATGGAGAAGGCATGTAAGGCATTCTAGGTCGAAAACCCATAGGTCTTCTTCCACGATACTGTTTCATTCCAGGAACGTTTGTACGCTTAGCAGAGACCTGAAAAGCAAATAAGAAATCAGGTACAATCAAACAGAAATAGAGCAAGTGACTGATTACATTTGACCAGATTAACTGACAAAGACCTTCAATTGACGACCATGCAACTCTGATTCATTCAACAAGAGAGCATTCTGAACGGCATCAACCTCAACAAACTCGACATAAGCGAATCCTTTTGGTTGACCAAATTTGTCTGTCAATATTGTCACTCTGTTCACAGTTCCACAAGACTGAAAATGTTGCTGGACTTCTTCAGGTGTACATCCATAGTCAACCTGAATTATGATTTGAAACCCATTTTAATAAATCATACCATTCCATTAAAGCAGTATAGCATGCTATAAACATTCCATTAGGCACAGAGCATGTGATGTTAGACAAGGCAGATCAAGAGAGGAAAAAAAGAAAGGGGGCAATAAGGAAAAAGAGAGATATATAGAAGATAAATACTCTTAATTTTACTCAATAGACAAAATCCACAAGTGAACAATCTTGGGATTATTTTCTAGAGCCCTAGACACAGATTAGATAATGATAAAATAACCCAACTTAATCCTAATTTAAAATAAGCTAAATCCAAAATTTAAAAATAAAGATAATCAAACAAATACAAAATGAACTAACCTAATCCTAACTTAAAATAAGCTAAATCAAAAATTTAAAAATAAAGATAATCAAATAAATACAAAATAAAATAAATTAAACACTAGTCCTCTCTATCCCCAGCACAGTTCTTTAATTTTCCATCATCATGTCATTATCGGGTTATCTAATTCATACATGTGGTCCTGATTCAAGAAGCAAGAGAATAAAGAAAAACACTTATAAAGAAAAGGCTAAATTGTAACAAATCCCCAGTTTGGCATGTGAGATGACTAGGTTGTAAATATAAGCTCTCCATCACACTGGTAGCCACTAAACTGAGTATCTCTCAACCTCAGCTTCTGAAGTCACCAGTTCAAAGCATGACTGCAGGAGTGTTTGTGATGAATCACCTAGCTACATTGTATAGCTAATAGGGTACAGAGCCATGATGGCAAGTTATTGACCAGAAAATTTTGTTTCTGTTCCCACTTAATTTCTTCGGGTCAGATGAAGATTCAATCAAAAGTCAAGAAACTACCTATTGGGTGGGCGTTGCATGGTACAATAATTACATCATGGCTTAACTCTAACGATTTAATATCGTTCTGAAGTCCAATGCCAAACAATCACCTACGTCCCATACCAAGATCATGTCTTTCCTTTCAAGAGAAAAAGAAATGAGCAGAGTACTTTGAAGGAATCTATCTTTAAATAGATTATTTTAGACCAATCACCAGACAGCCCATGAAGGTTTCTAGTTTGGACCTTCTCCACTAATGCATTCATATATTTGGAAAAAGAGTAGCACAAGAGAATGTAATTGTGCATAGCGTTCACACCTCATAATTATACTCGTCCATTATTTTTCTCTCCATCTCTCTCTTCAAGTGCATCCTCCGGAGGATCCAGACTCAAACTCTTCTCATGTTTGAACCATGATATTGTCCTTATATAGTGTATTATGGCAATGAGATGGATCCACACCAAAATATAGCTTCCTCAGTGGTAAGCTGATGGAATCAGGTCTGTATTGATATTATCGAAAGGAAAATCTGCCCCTCAGTGTATGGTTCTGAAGGGGAAGACGAATACAATGCAGAAAGGACCTATCACAGCTACTAGTCTCTGTGTATTCGAGAGACACAGACCTCTCCCACAGCTCACCAAAAACATGCATAACCTCCCCATAACAGACTACCCCTTATAACAATATTTCCCTCGTCTCTCTCCTCTAACCGTTTAGCATACAATTTCTCAATTGCCCTTGGGCTTCCGTTTAACATAAACCAACTTAGGCCCAGATCCCGCCTCATCATTACCCCCCCCCCCCCAACAAGTGTGTCCTTGTCCTCAAGGACAAAGGTAGGAAACTGTAAGCGGATGGCATCATAATCTTCCCACGTGCTATCATGTTCAGGGAGGTGGAGCCATTTGATCAGCAACTCAACTTGACCATTGGTCAAACGTCGGGATTTCAAAACAGCTTCCGGGTGGACCCGTAACTCCAAGTCAACAGTAAGGAACGGAGGAAGGGATTGCGGGACAACTGCCGCGGGGGGAGCTAATCGCAGTTGAGAAATATGGAAAACGGGATGGAGTTTCGCATCTGCAGGTAACTGTAGCTTGTAGGCCACTGCCCCGACTTTGGTCAGAATAGGGAAAGGGCCATAGTATCGTGGACTCAACTTCTCATTAGGGCGACGAGCTAAGGATCTATGTCGATAGGGTTGTAGCTTTGAATAAACCTTATCACCAGGCTTAAAAGTGACGTCGCGACGTTTCTTGTTAGCATACAGCTTCATATATTGCTGTGATCGTTCCAGATTGGTCTTGAGTTCATCTAGAATAACATTGCGGACACACAGATGTTCAGTGACGGCATCCACTGATGAAGAAGACTCTTGAAATCGATATAAGGTTGGGGGATCCTGTCCATACAAAGCCTTGAAAGGCGTCATACCAGTGGAGCGATTAAAGTTAGTGTTGAACCAGAATTCAGCCCAAGCAAGCCATTTGGACCAGTCAGTAGGATGAGAGCTAGAAAAACAGCGCAGATAAGTTTCAACACTTCAATTCACCACTTCAGTCTGACCATCACTTTGGGGATGATACCTAGAGCTAAAGCTCAAAGTGGTACCTGACAATCTGAAGAGTTCCTTCCAAAAGTTGCTCATAAAAATCCTGTCGCGGTCGGAAACAATGGAACGAGGAAACCCGTGTAGCCGCACAACTTCATTCATAAAGACAATAGCAACATCATGAGCAGAATACGGATGGCGGAGAGTGAGGAAATGAGCATATTTGGTCAGACGATCCACTACTACAAATATAGTGTTGAACTTGGCAGACTTGGGTAACCCACTAATGAAGTCCATGGAGATGTCGGTCCAGACTTTATCCGGAATTGGTAGTGGCTGAAGTAACCCTGCTGGACTAGTGGCCAAATGTTTATTTTTAAGACATGTATCACAAGCTGCTACAAATTTCTAGACATCCCGGCGCATACCAGTCCAATAGAACAGAGAAGCGAGCCGTTTATAAGTGCGTAGGTACCCTGAATGACCGCCTATGGGTGATGCATGGAAATCATGGAGCAATGAATGAATTCGGGAGGAATGTTTTGGTATCACTAACCTTCCTTCGAAAAATAAGTGACCTCCCTTGAGAGTATAACCTGGTGGAGCGGTTTGTCCAGTACCCAGCACTTGGATAATTGAAGCTAGCGTGGGGTCAGCCTGAACCTCTTGATCCCATGAATCAATCGTAGAATGCTGCAAAACGGATACGGCACGCAACTCACAATCAACCCCTCGGCGAGATAACCCATCTGTTGCTGAATTAGAGGAACCGAGTTTATATTGGATCTGAAAGTCGAACCCCATCAGCTTAGAGACCCAACGTTGTTGTTGACCATCTAATATTCGTTGCTCTAGGAGGTATTTCAATGGTTTTTGATCTGTCTTGATGATAAAGGGTCTCCCCATTAAGTAATAACACCACCTTTTGACAGCAAAGACAATGCCCATGAGTTCACGTTCATACACAGATCGTTGCTGGTGTTTTGGAGATAAATGATGACTATAATATGCCACAAGCCGCCCATTTTGCATCAGCACAGCTCCCAAGCCCGTGCCCGAAGCATCTGCTTCTATCACAAAAGGAGCTTGAAAGTCTGGAATGGCCAGAACAGGGGTTGATGACATAGCCTGCTTCAAGTGGTCAAAGGCAGATTGGGCCGCAGCATCCCAATGGAAAGCATTCTTCTTGAGCAAACAAGTGAGGGGAGATGCTAGTGTGCCATAGTTCTTGACAAAACGGCGGTAATAACCCGTGAGACCCAGAAATCCACGTAGGTCCTTCAGCGTCTGTGGAGTGGGCCAAGATAACATGCTCTGCACTTTAGAAGGGTCTGCATGAACCCCATCTGGAGAGATGATGTGGCCGAGATATTCCAGCTGAGACTGAGCGAAGACACATTTCTTGGTGTTGATGACCAGGTAATGTTGACGTAGCACCTCCAGTGTTACTCGTAAATGCCGTAAGTGTTCCTGCCTGCTCATGCTAAAAACCAGAATATCGTCAAAGAAAACGAGGATAAATTTCCGTAAATACTGACGAAAAATTTCGTTCATGAGAGACTGAAATGTCGAGGGGGCATTTTTGAGGCCGAAAGGCATCACCATGAATTCATAATGGCCATCATGGGTACGGAAAGCGGTCTTGTGCTCCTCACCAGGCTTCATCCTTATCTGATGATACCCAGACTTCAAGTCTAGCTTCAAAAAAATTTGAGCTCCATGTAATTCATCTAATAATTCCTCAATGGCAGGGATAGGAAATTTATCTTGGATGGTGATTTTGTTCAATGCCCTGTAGTCAATGCAAAACCGCCAGCTGCCATCTTTCTTTTTGACGGGCTCGAGAAAGAACTTCTATTAGGACGAATCAGGCCAGCTTGTAACATGTCCTGTACCATCTTCTCGATCTCTGATTTCTGGGAGTGTGGATAACGGTATGGCCGAATGTTAGGGGGGGATTCCCCTGGTTTCAACTCAATGGTGTGGTCAACCGAACGATGAGGAGGTAACCCAGTGGGTGATGCTTGTACTGTAGGGAACTCCCCAAGGAGCGCTTGGACATCCTCAGCCACCTCAGTAAAATTAACATCGGTGATCTTGAGCTCTGTGAATTCAATTAAGAACCCTTCATCCCTGGATCGCATGGATTTGAGCAACGAAGTAGCAATCATCTGAGATTTCTGCAAGGATGGATCACCACGCAAACATACCCATTCCCCGCCACTATCAATCTTGATAGTGGATCGTTTCCAACTCACCAAAACTTCATCCAGTGATTCGAGCCAGTCAGCTCCTAGAATTATATCAGACCCTCCCAATTGAAAGGGATAGAGGTGTTGCGTGATATGGAGGCCTTGGATCACAATGGGAACATCCCGGCAAATTCCCCTGCCTTGCACATGCCGAGAATCACCCACCTGGACAGTGAAGGACAAGCGGGGGTCGAGGGAAAGGTTAAGAGTATTGACCAGATCATGATGAATAAAACTGTGGGTGGCACCGCAGTCAATCAGAATAAGAGCTGTATGCCCGAACACCGTTCCTTTGAGCTTAATAGTTTTTCCCCCGGTCACTCCTGCCAAGGCATTCAGAGATAAAGCCATCAGTTGCCCAGTAGCCGTCGGCTCTTCTGTGGTGACGTCCGGGGTGGTAGTGGTAGCAACCACATCGGGTACTGCGGACTCACTGTCTTCCTCAGCTTCTTCGGCCAATATCAACACCTGCAGTTGCTTCTTCTTACATCTGTGTCCCGGTCGGAACTTTTCGTCACACTTAAAGCAGAGACCGAGCTCGCGTCGCCTTTCAATTTCAGCGTCGGTGAGTTTTTTTGGGATTGATTTGGTAATATGAGTCACCGGTATGTCAACCTTCTCAGTGACGCGTGCCCCCTTTGAATCATCTGGGGAGGATGTGATAGGAGTCGACGGTTTTGGCGTTTCCGTCGTGACACGAGTTGGGCCTGGACGCGTGGCCCATTTGTCAACATCCCACGTCCTGGGCGCTCGGTCAATGCGGTGACTGTGCAGCGATAATTTGACCCAATTTCGTTCTTCAATCCGCAAAGCCATATCCATGAGTTCTCGGATAGAATGCAGCGGTATCATCCGGAGATCGGCCTTGATGTCTGGTTGCAAACCGTTTAAGAAGGCAGCGATCAACACCTCGTCTTCACATTTATCTAGAGTAGCTGAAAGGAGCTCAAAACGTTCGATATACTCAGTGACCGACCCCCTCTGCCGGATCGCCATTAGCATTTCATATGTTCCCCCACACTGAGAAGGGTGGAAACGCAACACCAGAGCTCATTTAAGTTCAATCCAGTTACGGAGTGGGTTACGTACCTCGCACCCTTGGAACCAGTTTAGGGCCCGACTCTCAAAACAGAGTACGGCAGCGTCCAGTTTATCCTCATCGGCAATCCGGTTAAGCTTGAAGTATCGTTCAATCCGGAAGATCCAACCCAACGGGTCCTCACCCGAGAATAGTGGCATGTCAAGTTTCCGCAGATTAGAGAAGTCATTGCGAGGCTCCTTCGCTTCCGTGTCTCCCTGTTCCTCTGTACGTGGAAATTCTGCTGTTACCTTAGATCCCGGGGACTCTTCGGCTCTAGCACCGGACTCTTCAGAACCCTTAGTCTTACACATTTCGGACAACATTTCAGTCATCAAGGATTGTAGTGTAGCCATATCACACTTGATGGTGGACACATCCCCCCGTAACAGCTCAACACCTTGCTCGGTCTGAAGTAATCGTGTATCCATATTTTCCACCTTCTGCTCCATTCGGGTCACCATTCGCTGGATTGTAACGGCTCTGATACCAGAATGATGGAATCAGGTCTGTATTGATATTATCGAAAGGAAAATCTGCCCCTCAATGTATGGTTCTGAAGGGGAAGACGAATACAATGCAGAAAGGACCTATCACAGCTACTAGTCTCTGTGTATTCGAGAGACACAGACCTCTCCCACAGCTCACCAAAAACATGCATAACCTCCCCATAACAGACTACCCCTTATAACAATATTTCCCTCGTCTCTCTCCTCTAACCGTTTAGCATACAATTTCTCAATTGCCCTTGGGCTTCCGTTTAACATAAACCAACTTAGGCCCAGATCCCGCCTCATCATAAGCACTTAAGCCTAGCTCACTCTTGAAAGCACTGATCCAAAATTGGGATAATGACAAAAAAAAAAAAAAAGAAGCTAGAAATTACTAAAGCCTAAATCAGGTTTGGTAACAACACTTTATTTGATATTGATAACACTGAATTTGAAAATGACAAGAAATTTTTGTTGACATTCCTTATTTGGTATTTACAATTTTTCAGCTTCTTTTTTTGTCATTTTCCCTCCAAAACCTCTGTTTCTACCAAATTTTCAAATATGGTGTGCACAAGACTCCTCACGTGATTCCCGTCCTTCTAGAGAGGGTTCCAGTGACTGTCTCTTGCATAGGCTTTGTCACATATTCGCTCTCATTTTGGCAACCAGCTTGGTTAGAACTGATTAATTTCTGATATATGTTTTCACCACAAACCACCTATGGTTGACGCAACAATTGACCTTTCATTAACCAAGAGTTTAGAGATTTCAAGTCCTCACAACCAAGAAAATGAAGTTCTGGTACCATCCCAGAGACGCAGAGAACTGAATGAGCTAAGCACAAATTCCAATTTGGTCTCTTACATCTCTAACAATTCCCTTGGATTACACAAAACTTATCAAAACATTGTGATCTAATCAACAACCTCGCACAAAACTACCACATTAAACCCTGATTACCGGAAACTATGACCTACAGGCAGTGACACATCCAACAAAAGTTAGGATTAGGCATGTCTTGATCAAATTTCTCTACTTTTGCACAAAGCCAGTACAGATATCAAGTGCAGAGAATAAAGATACAGCAATGCCATATATAAGGATGGAAATTGAAATAATATTAGGCAGCAAAAAGGACTTCCAAGCCTCACATTACCAACATAGATTGACCGGGAATCCACTTCCTCCTTCTCAGCTTGACTTGCAGAAGAACCAGTTGAATCTTCAAATCAAAATCAAAACAAAACATCATTTACCAGATAACAACTAGAAATTAGATTTGCTCAAGAGAAAAAAGAAAGCAAAAATTGAGCTGTGTAACTGTGATCCAAGCATTGAAGGTAAATGAAATAATCTTGAAAAACAAGTCAATTGAAACGATGCACAGGGTAGTTTATTTCACTAAACTATAACGATATGCCAAGCAAGAAGGTTCAAGAGTGTTTGATAACTTCATGAAGAGCAGAAGGTATACGGATTGATTCATTAGATGGCCATCATTGAAATTTGACTCAAACCCTATCGCTTAAGACTTGAAATTCAAATCTGACCTTCTCATTTTTGTTCTAATTAAGCAAATGCTTGAGACGAGGCATGCGGTTTAATTTATTTTAAAAAAAAAAAAAAAAAAAAACACCTGCAATCTGATAGTCACTTTTAGTTGGTGGCCCACATAAGAAAACTTTAGATTGGTGGCTAATGTGAGAAGGCCATGTGTTGGTGGTTAGTGACTTAGTGTGAGTAAAACCATATAATAGTATTACAAACCCACCCCTCCCCCAAAAAAAAAAAAAAAAAAAGACATACACTGGTAGTTAGGGTGAGAAAATCAAACGTCTGTGGTTAATGCAAGAAATTCAAGACCTTTGCCTCATAAAAGGTGTGGTGAGGGTGCCCAAAACCAAATCCTCACTACAAAATGAGGTGATAAAGAAAAAGGAATCAGAGGCTCTGAAGCATCGAGTAACGAAGACAACGAAAAATAAATTTAAAAAAAAAAAAGGGAAGAAGATTAGCCATGTTAGCTTCAGGTTGTCTCAGGTTGAGGGGAATTGATGAAATTTATTTCCGGTCTCCTCATTCATGACTTGGAATTGAAATTTGATCTTCTCACTTATGGCCTAATTAGGCACGTTTTATGTGAAGTATATGTTTTCTTTTTCAAAAAAGGGCAAATCATTTCATTTTTTCAAGGACTGGCCTTTATTTATCAAATTAAGGGATCCACTGGCAAAGGAGTTTTCATAGATCTTCTATGTATGTTTATCGTTTATTTGTCCTCCTTTTTTGCCAAACGGGGGAAGCACCAAATTCTTACTTGGCCCTTCTGGGCTACTTGACCTGAATGCCACAGAAGAGCTCTAAGTCACATGGATTGGGGCCACGGTTTGCTCTTAGACTACTTTTCCATCAAGATGGATCTGCTCTTTATAGCACCTTGCCAAGCATACAGTACGATTTGAAGACTTCAGATAGAAACAAGAGCGTATCAAACAATAATTTGCCACCAATAATTGCTAACTTGAAAGAACAATATAGTTTCTTTCATTCTGAAGAGTTACAAAATCAAAATATCTTTTTTTTTCCTACAAGGATACTGTATAATTAGTTCAGACCACATTGTAAGCCATGTTTAAACACAAACTAGAAATATCATAACATTATTCTTTTAAAAAAAAAAAAAATTACATGCAAGGCCCATATGACAAAGAAAGTAGTATAGTTCAATCTGATTAAAGGAAACGACTCCTCAGTTGATGTATTACAAAATTCTTAATCATATTAACCATAAATAAATTGAAAACCAAGTGCGGAAGCATCTGCAGCATAGCTGGGCCTCATCCTCTCCCAGCATCAATGAGAAGGTGCGCACGCACTCTCATGCACTGTAGTTCAAGTAATACATACAACCACTATGTACCACCCACATTAGCTGGTTTCGGATGGTGGTCCAAAAAAATTGAGAATCAAGTGTTACTAATTTAACATATTTCAAACTCAATCACAATTCAAGGCTCGCTTTTCTACAATTTAAAAAGCGGGCCATCAAGACCAGTACAGTGTGCTTATGCCTTTGTTTGTACTATATGTACTCCTTCCCTCCCTCCCTACGATAGGATGTTCTGCCAAGAGCAGCAAGCCATGTTCCTCTCTAGCAAGCATGACCATTTTCCCCTCTCTCCATATGGGCTTGTCTGCACAATGGTTTTTCCATCAGCATCTCTTCCACTGTTACCAAATACATCTAAGTTGCAACATTCCATGTTCATTGTCTCAAGCGGTCGAGCCACCATTTTCAAATTCAAATCTTCACTTTAGCCATAATTAAAAGATAAATAAATCCATTTCTTCAACAGTGAGATCTTTGAATTTCACTTGCCCATTTCCCTAGTCCCTTTCATTCGTCACATGTCTGTGCTTCCTCCTCTTGTAATCATGGACTTCAAACAAAGTAAATCTGAACCATATAGTTATTAGTTCCTTTTTCCCCTTTCCTTTTTCTTTATTGATCTTGATTATTCTTTTTCCCTCACGAATCAAACTAGTTTTCACAAATTCGGTTTTTGGATGACAACTTGATTTTAATTTTATAGGAGTGGGTAATTTTCTAATTTGTTGGATTACGCATGCAATACAAGGGTTCTATAGAAAAGGAAAGCTTGCCTTCAACTCTTTTCACAATTTTTCTTAAAGGATTATGCTCAAAACCCAGATTTTGTGGCCCAATAAGACTCCGCCAATCTGAGGACTTGATTTATGCATATTTTACTTCTCTCGATTATTCTTTTTCCCCAGACTGCTCTGACTATTTTTCACAGATTTGGTTTTTGGATGGCAACGTAATTATAGAAAATCATATTTTTTATATAGGCAGGTAATTTTCTAATTTGTTGGTTTAAGTGTGCGATACAGGGTTCTCTAGAAAAGGAAAGCTTGCCTTTGATACTTTTCACAGTTTCTCTACACTCAAGAACCAGATTTTGTAGTCCAGTAAGAGTTTGCCAATCTGAGGACTTGACCTATGCACAGGAAGGAGCTAACTCTTATGGCTTTCCATCATATTCTTTTACATCTTAGAGGCTAGACTCAAAGGGGGGAGTTAACAGGCACTTATCTAGTTTATTTCTTACTGGACTAGGAGACTTATGTCAATTGGTACAGGGGGAGATTGAAGGGAAATGGTGTCATAAGGATGAGATTCTCGATGACAAATCTGTTGTGCAAAGCCATCTTTCAAATGAAAAAGGCCAAGAGAGTCAAACCCTGAGTTTCACTTTGCTGGATCATGTGGTTATAGGAAATTTTTTTGATGCGTCATATGGATCCAATAATGAGGGGAACATAGTCTGCTGCTATTTGGAGATCAGCAGGCAACCCGAATGCCTCCCCCCCTCCCCGGGGGGCGTCTTCAAAAATGACAAACTAGGCTTTCCTTCCTAAGCTCCACATTTCTCAATGAGCTGTGACCTATGACTTATAACCCTAGTTTCATGAGATAAGATTTTAACCTTAATAAGGTATCAGACAAAAAACAGCCCTGAGCAGAATGAAAGCATTCATAATGAAATCACTGAAATTTAATTTAATAACTAATTAAAACAACATCTAAGTATTGAAATAAATTATGTCTTTGGCTGCTTACCAAAATTAGAGAAGATAACAGGATAAAAATAAATCACAAAAACAGTATTTTGGAAGCTAACACGATATTTAATTGTTAATATTTGATTTGGCTCTCACAAATACAAGCAATTGAACAGACTGGTATACACAAACAAATTTCACACATGCACACACATTACATACACAAGGGTTGGTTTCTTTCTATTTTCACATCCTGTCAAGGCAGGAAAGCAGCTTGGATATGTATTGGCATCACAGCCGCTATCACATTGCCTTTTTCCCCATATTATATTAATGACACAACAATGTTCATTCTCTTATTTGGACCAAGAAACAGAGGTCAAATGCATGAGAGATCAGAAGCACAGATCTGAATCATCCTGTCTCCCATCTCTCAAGATGTCAAACTTTATTAACTCACAAACAGAAAACAATCTGAGATACAAAAGATAAAAACTTGTTTGACACTAATTAAATCTACAGTGTGTCTTAGCTTGAGCAGCATGAATACTGGGACAAAACAATGTATAATCATTTCATCATTTTGTAGGCAAGATCTACTAGCAATTAATGCTTCCCATACATTTTTAGTATCAATGCACTAACAATAAATATATTGTTATAGACACTTGCGCAAACATAACTCTACCAATTTTGTATTCTTTAATTCAGAGAAGTTATCATACCCTCATATTATGTAGCTAATTTTCACACACTATATAAATGTCAACAAGATATATTATAATTAATATTTGCCAAGGACCAACCAAATCCTAAATGAACTGATCTCACCAACTCTAGTATACTCAAATAACCAGATCTCAGTCCCAGAAGAAAATGAGTAATCTTTCCCATGCCATAGTTAAACTGCATATGCAGGAGTTAATTTGATGGTCCTTGCCCCAATGTGCAGAGGCTAATATTTTATTGGAATTGACCAATAAAACGAACAGACTACCGGCTGCAATTATCCAATGCAAGGGTAGAGTGGGGACTGACATTGAGGAATCACGCATCTCGGTCTAAAACTTGAAAAGAGAAGACTAACGACTGTTATTATAAAAGACTGAAAGGAAACAGATGATGATTGAGCCATATACTTTAGCAATTCAAGTAACCCCAGAAATCCCAGCTCACCAGATCTAAATCTTGAATATCCTAAAGATAAGAATCAACTGAAAGTCCCCTAGCACCCCATGACAAAGGCCATATACCAATCATAAATCAATTTTCATGAGGGGCTAAGCAAAATTAAAAATTAATCCGCATGGTTTTGTGTTTATTACGTGTTCAAATTACAAATATGCTAGAAAGGGCCAAAAAAGAGACCTTGAACAGCACCCATCTCTTTCTCAACCTTAGCCTGCATTTCACGAAGGGCACTAGCTTCTTCCTCGATTTCCTTGAGCCGCTTCTTCATGTCCTCCAGGTCCTATCACAGAAAAAGAATGGAGAGTAAGAGGGAGACAGAGGAAATAGCGCAGAGAAACACAAATCGGGGGAACCTTATTAGACTGATCGGGGTCATGTTGATGTCCTTCTTGGTCTTCTTCTTCATCAACTCTGAAATCTGCGTCCATCTCCGCGTCGTCGGGAATATCGCCTCCGTACACTTCATGCTCTTCGTGTTCCTGCTCCATCTCTTCTCTCCTTTACTGTGCCTGTCGAGTCGAGCGACGGTGGTGTTAAGAGTTCGATAGCTAGGCCTATTTAGCTCAGTCACCACCATAAAAAGGTCAAAACTGGAAAGGTGAAACATTATCCGCCACGCTACTTTCCTCACCAATATGTACACAAAACGAAATTCACTCTCGTATGTTACTTAAAATACTACATTTGATGCTTTGGAACTCATTTAAATAGATTAAGAAAGTAAAATATTAGATGATACAAGGGATATGACTTAGCATCCTTCAAACACTTTAGTATAATACGAACTCCGGCTCTAAATATAAGAGTTAATTCGCTAATTTGAGTAGATTAAAGAAATAAGTTAAGTTAGTTATTTGTAATAGATATATGTTGTATTTTCTAAAATATTCTTGCTAATTAAGTGTATTGGCTAGGACTACTATTATTATAAGGAATATTTTTGAAAATAAATAAATAAATATGAAAGACAAAGTGGATAGAAATCTTACATTTAGAATTAAAATAAAAGTCAAACAAGATCTTATATTAAGGATCGGAGGTAGTATTACTTGTTGATATATCCCTATTTTATAATATATTTTATATATAATTAAGGGATCTTATAATATTTCAAGGGTTTAAAATGCACAAGATACTTATATTTTAAATTAAGGAAACTAAATAAATTAATTGTTTAAAAGTGTATTTTTTATTATATTTTTTATAATTTCCCTTTTGAAAGGTATCTTTGCTTTGATTTCAGGTTTTATCCAATATCATTTAAATTCAAAAGCTCTTTTATTTTAGTTGACATGAAGATCATACCAAATCAAGAGAATTTAAGTTTAAAATTCTATCAAGATTATAAGATAAAAGAAGATGAAAGATAAAGCCGGAAGAGTCAAGGGTTTTCTTATCTAACTAGACAAATTCAAGAGCTATAAAAGGAGATCAAAAAAGCCTTGGAGAAGTAACGAAGCCATCTACATTATACAACCACAAATACAAGCACAAGCAAACGTTTGGCTTCCTCTTATGTCTAGTTATTTCACTGTCGTTTTTTTATTATTTTCTTTTTATCATTATATTGTCATCTAGTCATATATGTGGTTAGTCCTCTTTGTTCTTAAGGATAAGATGACTTGGTTTGAGTTCCTGTTTATAATAGGGAGATTATTAGTTTTCATATTTCAATTCGCTAATACATTGCTTTTATGAATTTCCTAGGTTATGATTTTAATTTCTTTTGTGGATTGATATTTGATTTATGTTTCAGTTTGAACAATTATATTTTGTAGTTTTCAATGAATATAATTTCAATTTCCTCATGATTCTATGAATGTTTTTTTTTGTAGATTTCTATTTTGATTTGCACAAGTTGTTCATGCTCTAGAGTTTTCGATAGATAACTCTTTAAGGAATAAGATATAATTGTTTAATTAAATTTACAAGCTAAGTGGTTTTTAAATGATTAATTGAAAGGTGATTATATGCTAGCTCTTTAGGTATAATTATTAATTAATTAATCACAACGTAGATGTTATCTAGGGTTTTTTCTTTTGACTTAGTAATTGTTTTTATATAAATTCCTCATTCTTTTGAACCGTGATAGCCACTCATCAACATCTTCAAGAATTACATCATTCTGGTAAAGTCTTCGTTTCTTTTGCTTTCTCTTACTGATTGTTATTTTTTTTTATTTTTGTCAATTTATTTTTTTAAGCAAATCAATCAATTTTCTTTCCTACTCCTTGTAACATTCTAGTTTTTATTTCTAGTATTTAAACAAGTTTAGAAATAGTTTAATGTTTAATCAATTATTTTTATTCTCTAGTTATTTAAGAAAAAAGAATTTCTAAAAATAAGGTTTATAAAGTATATATACAAGAAAATTTACTAAATAATAGTATTAAAACGGATAAAAAAAGAAAAAGGAAGAAAATACAAAGAAAATGAAAAAATGGAGTCTAAACTGTAATTTCGTCTTATTTTAACATGGGGTTCTTAACTGGAATTTACCCCAAAATTTTATTTTAACAGTTGGAGCGGGGTCGAGAGGCGTCGCCCTTCTTTTTTTTCTCATTCTCCAGCGCCGTTCTCTCATTTGTCACTAGGGTTTTAACATTTGCAGATCATTTTGACAAGTCAAATAACTTTTTTTCATCAAACTCTTTTCATAAAAATTTTTCTACTCATCTATATCTATCTAATGATGGTAATTTTATACTATTTAAAAAAAAATTTTGGGTTTAAGATTTGAAACAAGTGTTGAGTTTTGATGATAGATGAGTATAATATTATAGAGCTATTTTAGAAGATCATTTCTATCAGTTTAGTTTTATTTTTGATTGACCTACTATTTTTTAAACGAATTATTTTAATTAAACAGATAGTTATTTGTGAAAAATGTGATATTTCTGTTATGGAATTTTAATTAAAGTATTTACTTAACTATGTTTGATGTATATTGAATTTCTAATGGCTGGCTTTTGAGATTTAAACTTGAGATAGAATTTTTGAATTTTAAATATGATAATTTCAGATTTAAAAATTTGAGAAAAATATGTATTAAAGTAAATACTTTGAAAGGTTTGAATGAAAATTATGGATTGTGGAGATATATTAATTTTGTCCTAAAAGACTTAATTATGGGTTATGAGAGGCTTGGGTTTAGCATAGAATTAGAGACTTTAACTTATATATATATATATATATATATATGTATTAGCTTAAATAATTAATTAAATAGCTTGTGTATTGATATGTAAATGTATTAATTGCGTAGATTAAATTATTAGATTACTAGTCTAAGCACGGGATTAACCTTGTGGTAATCCTTGTCCTAGACGAGAGGTAACCACTTTCTACTTATTATTCATGTTCGTAAATTGTTTGTGATTGATTTTTAATTATACAGGATTTATGAAATATTATTGAATTATGATACAAGCTATGAAGTTATGTTGTTATTGAAATTGTCTTGTGAGACTTTCTTTACAAAATATACATGTGTTTATGATTATGATGATATCATGTGTTATGTAATTGAGAATTGAAAATTCAAATTGATTTTTAACATGTTGATGATTTATTATAAATATAATATTTTGAGTATTGATATATAAGGAGTGACGGATGTTGATGATGAGAACTATATCAAAGAGGATATGAGGGGGTGAACTATGTATATGTGAGGATATAAGGTGATAGGACCATCAGATGTACATTGATTGGTCCTTTGACCCAATTACTCGTTATAGGGCATTGAAACCCCACTAGTAGACTAGAGGGGGAACTCATGGTCTGGTCTTATGCTATATGAATTTTAGTCGGTTCTTATCACTTGATTGGTGAGCTTGTCTAATTACCTATCCCATGGATGAGGTTTTAGCCCATAGGTTTAGTCAGAGGATACAAGGTGGGTGAATATAAGGGAGGTGAGAGGATTATTAATTGTACTTTGTATATGTTTTGATAATATGAAATTTGTTTGAATACTATGAATTTGCAATTATCTCACTTGACACATCATGAGCACTTACTTGTATGCTTGATAAGTAGGATTGTTGGTTACTGAGGCTTTTATCTCATCCCGTTAATTTAACACTTTTCCAGGTGATAGTTCCTGTTCGGGTTAGTTAGGGAAGGCTCTGAAAGCTTGAGCTGCTACTGTAAAATTGTAACACTTCCACCCTTTTGATTGTGTTGGATAGATGTATATTGCCATGATAAGGCCCATTCCACATACTCTGATATGTTTGAAATTGATTACTTTGATAGTGTATTTTTGATAACTATTGCTGGATTGCATGCTAGTAGAAGGCCAAAGGGCTCTAGGTACTTGTGATTTTTTGATATGAGTTGTGGATCCACAACAATCGTAGACATCAGATGACTTTTGATTTTAGAAAGTTGTGAAAGGTATTATTCAATAAAATCATGTTAGGGGCTCATGGTTGAAATGACACTCTGGGTTTATAATGTCCAAAGTCCTATTCATTGTGAATCTCGATTTGCACGAAGTTGATTTAGAAGGACTCTGTTAACCATGATAGATATATTTATATATTGGTTTAACTCTTTTTCATCATGGTTAATCTCATATGATTTAGGATGTTTATATACCCATGATAGTATTTTTAAATCTTTTACAAAGACTCTTTTCTATTATAGTTAATTTTTCAATATTGATTAATTTAAAAGTGTAGTAGTTTTGTTGTTACACTCCTTCCTTCTCTACATCATGTTTTCTTAATTAAAAAGGTTTTCAAAATTTTAACAAAGCTTCTCATAGAAAGAGATGACCTAGGTTGATCTCTATACTATATAGTGTTTATGTAGTTAATTAATTTATGAACTTACATGATAGGACGATCACTTATCTTTAATATAAAAGTTTATTTGACCTTTATTTTAGTCCTAACTATAAAATCTCAATCCACTTTGTCTTTCATATTTATCCTCTTTCTCAAGGTAGTCTTTGTAATTATAGTAGTTCTAGCCATTATACTTGATCAGCGAGGATATTTTAGAAAATACTCCTCCGATCCTTAATATAAGACCCATTTAACTAATTTGATTAGATTAAGGAAGTTAGATAAGTTAGTTAATTATAAGAAATGTGACATGTTTTTGTTAAAACATCATAATCATCTATCTTAATATCCCCTCTTCCTCTTCTATTTAATTATGGTTGAGAGAGTATCCATATGGGTAATTCAGAGAAAATTAATAAATATGATAAATAGGTATTATATTTAGGACCAAAACTAACTTAACAATTAGGTCCTATATTAAGGACTAGAGGAGTACAACACATATTTAGTACAGATAACTAACTTAACTAATTTTTTTAATCTATTAAAAATAGTCAACTAATTCTTATATTAAGGACTGGAGGTAGTACTACATCTTGTCTTTAATACTACCCTGGTCTTTAATATGAAAACCAGTTGACTAATTTGAGTGTCTTAAGAAAATTAGTTAAATTGTTTGTAATAAATAGGTGTTGTCTCTCATAAAATACACTTCTTAATCAAGTGTCATTTGATGAAATATTTAACACGTGTAACTATTATAAGGACTAAGTTTGAAAAAATGAATAAATATGAGAGATAAAATGAATGTGGATCTTATATTTAGGATCAAATTAAAAATTAAACAAACTCTTATATTAAGGACCGGAGGTAGTATAAAAGTTAATTTGACTTTCAATTTGATTCTAAATATAAGATCACAATCCACTTTGTTTCTCGTATTCATTTTTTTCCAAAATAATCCATATAATAGTTACATATGTTAAAAGTTTTATCAAATGTTAAAGTTAATATATTTGATTGCAAGGGTAGAAAAACAGCACCTATTTATTACAAATAACTAATTTAACAAACTTTATTAATTTACTCAAATTAATCAACTAGCTCTTATATTAAGGATCAGAGATAGTACTAAATTACATATCATAAGTTTGGTAATTTAATTTGAAAAAAATAATAAGTATGAAAAATGAAATAAATTAAAATTATATATTTAAAATGATGTATCTCGCCAATGTTCTTGGAATCTAGCTGCGTGAATACTCTAATGGGAGCTCTGGAATTGGCATCCTTCTTTTCAATCCCCAAAAAAATTATAATACCCCCCCCCCCAAAAAAAAGGAAAAAATATATAAACCTAAGAGTATAGAAAAAGATTTTAAAAATAGTTGTCACGAAATTAACACACACTCACTCACTATAGGCTGACATGAACACACACGTGTGTGTGTACACAAGCATTTTACAATGGTTAAAAACGATCTAGCTTGACTTTGTTCTCTGTTTTTTCCCCCCCCCCCTACTTTTCTAATTTTATCTTGATCTTAATTCATGAAGAATATTTGTCTCCATTAAATATCCTCTCTCAATTTGGTTCTGCATTAGAAGGGATATAATATTCTAATTTGTAGGCTAAAAGTGATATAATTGTTTGTGAATAATTTGGAAAAAAAATATAATACATACATACAATAAAAAAGTAAAAAATAATCTATTTGTTAATGTAATTTTTGGTTCCTTAAATTTACTCTCATTTTGGTCTTGATCCTTCAAATTTTAAACTATAGATTTTGGTCCATCAAGTTTCTTTTCATTTAAAAAATCAGTCATTATAGTTCAATAAAAACCTGGGTCATTTCCCCTGCTGAGGAACCAAAACCTATTATTTGAAACTTATGGGACCAAAACTAAAATAAAAACAAATTTAAGAGATAAGAAATTGTGTTAACCCATAATCTAACTTTAAATACTTATAGATCAGACCCTAAAACATACACTCCCCTGGTCCTAAATATAAAATTCTTATATACTAATATAAAGATCTTATATTTATGACAAGAAAAATATCTTGTTATAAACTCGAATCTAACTCTTTAAATAGGTCAAGTCAGGCTGTAAAATGACCTAATAAATCTCAGTATGTACACCATTGTGATACATGCGTGTGTGCGTGACGTAAGTACAACGTGAGTGAATGAGAAGGATGGGTAGGCAAAATTTTTAAATGAAGTTTTAGAAAAACCAAGTGAGGGTGGATTTTCTAAAAACCATTTTAGGGCTAAAAGTCAATCCAATCTAACATATTGTCAAATATATACAAATAGGTTTATTGTAAATTTTAACCCTAAAGTTATTTTGAGATGACTGAAATTTCATTCCAAACAAAGCCTAAATGCGTTCAATTGTGCATTCCCCCCCCCCAAAATTTATCATATTCAACATTCATCACTTCTAATAATATGTGAAAGAGAGAAATTACATAATGCTTCTTAGGGATCATTAAATGATGTATAAACGTTAATATCACTATTTAAGTGGGCACACTTTTGAAAGAAACCTTAAATGGGAGAAAAACAAATTGTTTTTTTTTTTTGACATCAAATGAAGTTTAAATAACTCTTTCTTAATTGTTGCATGATACTCCTCCGGTTCTAAATACAAGACTCTTATATATACTAATAAAAGGTTTTTATATTTAGGATCGGAGGAGTAATTGTTATTTTTGTATTAAAAACGAGAGGTAGAAATGTTTTAAAATTTTAAAAATTATTATATCTTATTATGATGTGTGTATGAATACCCTCCCTTGAATTCTCTTCTGTCTGATCTTATACTCTTTCTTAATTAATTAAAATTACTATTTTTAAAGAGTATTTTTAAAAAAATTAATTATTGCGTAGATTTTGTAAATCGTCTTATAAACTGAGATACCAAAGTTTTCTAAAAAGTTGTCACCTAAAAAGAAAGAGAATGAGTAGTACCTGATGATATACAGAATGCCTTGTTAAGTACATTTTGATCATTTTCAAGCTTAATTAATTAGTGTGTGCATGTTAATCGTGGGCATTAATGTTTAATAGTTCCTATATCTCAGTGCAGGCTTAATAATATTTAAACACCTTAATTAATTTGATCGATATAAAATTAGGACAGTTGGAATCATAATCATTGTTGCGTAAAAGTGATGGGCTTCATGGCCCGGTTAAGCTTGAATTTTTATTTATTTAAGAAATTATAATTCACTTGTTAAATGACATTCTTGTTCTTAAACTATTTTGTTAGAAATATTGATTGTCCTAAACTATTTATTGGATCAATGTCGCACCTCAAATACACATGAAAGAATAACTTGCTCCCTAAAATTTAATAATGTGGAGTAATTAGTACTTTGATTTTCTTTCTATCAAGTCATGTGATAGTGTTTACGTACAGTGTAGGGTGAATGTGTATCCGGCACATTGATTTTTATTATGATGCATCTATCAGACTATCACCCTAATTTTATTTTATTTTCAGTATATCTAACGTTCTGATATTATTTTTTTTAGTTATATCCAACATTTCAATCTATAGTGTTGGATGAACAATAATAAGATTAAGGTGTGAAATGTATAAAAACAAATAAGATCAAGGTGTTAAACGCACTAAAAAAATAAAGTCAAGATATTGAATGAACAATTTTACCCAGATTAATTATCAATTAATAAAAATCTCCAAGCTTATACTAATAATTAATGTCAAAATATTAACAAAGAATTGGTTTGGCGGTGTAAGGCCCTGCTAGAGATTTTTGGGTCTCAAGTTCAAGTATAAGAGGAGACAGCTTTATAGAAAGGGGAAGCCACGAACCCTGAACCGAATTAATCAAATGATAATATAAAAAATTAATGTCAAAATATGATTAGAGAGAGATAAAATGGATGTCATTTGACCAACTAACTAAGGATTAAAAAAGTTTATCAACCCACATGCTCGGGCCAGTGCTTCTTTCTAAGGCGCATCGGCTTTCTCGCTCGGGCCCTTGCTTCTTTCTAAGACGCATTGGCTTTCACGCTCAGGCCCTTGCTTGTTCGAGCAGATGAAGTTTTAGTGATCACTTACGCAATTCGACTTATGCTCTTTTGCAGTCGACCCACACTAACTATTGACTTATGTGCATGTTTCAGTTAATAAAATGGGAATGTCAGTTGTTTCACAATTTAGAACTTTTAGAGTGTCAATTTTTTTTTCAAATACTTTAAGGGTCAAAATACTATTTACCATTTAACTCAGTTAACAATCAACCATAATAGTTATTAGCCAGAGGACAATATTAGTTATTAGCCAAAGGACAATATTGCAAGGATTTTAATTAAGAAGTAACATTGCTCTTATGAACTCCTTGGCAAGTAATCAATGCTTCTTGCCAAGTAGTTCATAGACCAAAAAAGCCCTTCAACCCTTTGATTTATACTTCTTTCTATCAATTTCAACTAACCAACCTATACAAACTAAAAAAGTTAGTTACGTTAAAATTGGTTCAAAGATAATAAATATGCAAAAAAAAATGCAAATTATTTTCTCAAAACATCCTTGGTTAAAAATAAAAAATATATTAAATATTCAGATATCTCTAAAGTGTAACTTGTTCAAAAAGACCAAATCCATTAAAAAGAATTAACTCATAAAAGGAATCGGATGGAGTACATTTGACTATAAGTTTGGATGCCAAATTTGGTACAACTTCATATTCTTATTATAAGAGTTATTTAACCAAGATAGATAAATTAAGAAAGCCAAAATAAATCAAGAAATTATAACAAAAATGATATGATTTTAATAAAATATTTATATATAACATTAGATTTCACATCAATTTATAAGTTAAGTAAATTAGTTTAACAAAAATTGATAAATATAAGAGAGAAAAGGGGATTAATTTTATGTTTATGATCAAATGCTGCTTCCGAACGAACTCCTGCAGTAAGAATAGTATAGAGTATATGCGTTTGGTTTTAACATAGAAACCATTCAAACAAACCAAAGTTGGGCAAAGTACGTACAACTTAACAATTCTAGGCAACCCGCATCTCTGTATTTCATGATTTGACCAGCCAATTTTTTTGTATTAATAATACTTCAACGTTTATTCAAGATGATTTTGACTCTTTCTACGTGGATTTAAAAAAAGAAATAGAGTAGTTAGAGACATACATTTTAAATTTTCAAAAATTATCACTACTTTTAAAATTGCACTCAAATATGTTGACATATAACAAATGAATACAGGATGGAGGAACGCAAGGATTCTTGGAAAATATAAGGGCAGAGTCTGGGAAATTAGCAAATTAAACTACTCATTTTCTCTTTTAAAAAAACCTTCTTATAGAAGTATAATAAAACTAACTTTATTATACCCCATCTGACCAAATTGTTCATGCCAATCAAGTGACATTACAATAACTCAACGAACTCAACAAAATTTATTGATATCGTATATCAAATTCATAACAAGACACATTATTTAAAATTATAAATTATATAATTCATTTTTAAATTTTATATAAAATGCACAAGACCCTTTATTAGTTGAATATAATTGTACAACATAAGTTTACACCCTGTGGTAAAAATAAACTAATAAAAATCGAGGGAGCCAATCTTTCAATTTAGATCTTGAGGTCAAAAAAATCTTTCAATTCAGATCTTCTACATTCACAAAAGTGAATACATATATTCAGATATAAAACTAGAGATGATCGGATGACACCTTAGCCTCATTCACAATCACATTTTTTGCATTCCTTTTTGGATGCATAAATGAAGATGAATTGGACCATCTTCCCCAACAATCAAGAATGTAAATAAAAAATCGATATAAAAGCCAATGTCAAAGGCCCGGAATGGACTCTAAATTGTATTTCCCTGAAGAAGGTTCTGGTTCTGAATCCTTTTTTTCTTCTAATTTTGGTTTTGTCATGCCATCAAGTGCTTGCAGGTATGTGTAGGAAGCAGTTCGGTTGGATGGCGGGCTCGGATTGCTAATTCTGCTGGCGAGGAAGCGGCGGATTAGGCCCCTAAGGAATGGAGACATGGTTTCTGGCTCATAATCCAAGTAATACATCATCCCTCCCATACACAAGGAAAACAAGAACACCTGCATAGGTTAAAGGAGTATAAATTCAGATATCATGGTTATATTTGTCATATAAAGCTTCAACACTGAACGCTGAATCTTCTATTCCTTTAGAAGCCTCAGAATGGAACTAAAAACACGAGTGACCCTTACACAGGAGTACTTTACTCATAAACTGCTTGCATCTAAAATAGGTGCAACAAGTAAAACCTCTTGAAACTGGGTATGTTAAAAAGTCCTAACATCTTATGCATCTACTTCACTTTTTTTTTTTTTTTTGGTGAATATCTACTTCACTTGTTATCGGCCCTTGCTTTTGTCCTAGGCTTGAGTTACATGTTCCGTAGAGTAGTTGCTTTTGATTCTTAATGTCCTTCTATACATTTTATAACATCACTAACCTCGAAGGACATGAAATTATGGATGGATATAGAATCCAATGACGACTATTTTCTTGGAAACCAGGTCTTCAGTTTTGCTCTTGAAAATTGGGTCTTCAGTTTGGCACTAGTGTTCTAGTTTCAGCTTTTTGGGTGGGTATTTCCAGGACAATTTTCCATTCCAGCAAAAAAGTAGCTCAAAGATAATACCTCAGCATTCCTAATATCTGGAAGCAAGTTCCTGTTCACCAAGATAAACCATAATGAATCTCCTGCTCGAGGAAGGACATATAAAGCAAGCTCAGCACGCCTAGGTTTCTTCTCCAATAGCACTGAAAGCGCAGCTAGCCCACCAGCTATCCAATACACGAGTTTGTGGTCCTTCACAGCAACTTTTCTATGTAAACATATAACCGCCTGCACAGTTTGCAAGAAATTGATTATTATATAAAAAACTTATTATAATACGTGCATCTCTTAATACGTGAGAGATCAACAAACATCCACCTGAAAGATACCAACAAAAGCAGACAAAAAAGTTGTTGAACGAACAGCGCCTTTAATAGCTAACCAGAAGGTACGGAAAGGAGCATCCATGAACTGCATACAATATCAGCATCATCAGAACAGCATCGAAAAATTTACAGCAATGTTATAGAAGCAGTGGTTTTGGCTTGAAAATGTACGTCCGGAAACAGCAAATATAATAATAGTCATAATCTTATCCGCAGCAGGGAAACTGGAAACCAATCATACTAGCACGACTGTAGCATGACGATGTTAATAAAGCAAAACACATGACGACTTCTCACATAATGAATGGTGTTGGAGACTATATTATTACCCATCTATTCTATATCGTTTAAATTGCTTTTGTTTTATTTATTTTGTTTTAATTAAAGCTTCTTTGGTTTTTAATTATTTTGAGGGTAATATTTCTATGCATATATGATTGACTCCAACTGTTCCTTTATGATTAGGATAATACAACTTTTCAGTGTTCTATTTGGTCAGGATAGAATTAACATTCTAGTTGGAGTAAGAGTCTAATCCTCATCTATCTTCCATGCATGTATGCAGTTGCTTTTTAATCACATAAATGTCGAGGATTATTGAACGTCCAATATCTATATGACTGTCATTTGAATGTTTGCTGGAGCAGAATACTATTCATGGTTACAATAGGGAAAAGAAAGAAAGAAATCCACGATCAAAGCTGAATAAAGACGGTAAAGTTTAGGAAAGAAAAGAGAGACAGAAATGTTTAATACATAAGTGAGTAACTCCTTACAGTTTTAACTCAGTATAAAGCTACCACCTAAAGTTGACGTGAATGACAGGAGCTCTCACCATTTAAACAAGTAGCTACTAGCTAGGGTTATACCCTCAACCTTTGTGCATGCAAAAAACTTACTTGAGATGGATCTACTTTTTACCCTCCATGCCCCAAAGAAATTAGTCTTTGCTGCTAATAGAAGATATTCATTTTGCTTCAAAAAGAAAATTAATATACAGCAACAGAAGGTGTGGCACAACTACAGTTCTGCACTGCTAGTATAAGTACTAAACTGAGTACTACTCTAACTACCTTATGTACACTGCTATTCTAAGGCTAACCCTCCATTTGGATGAGAAGAAAAGTTGGAAGGAAAGAAAACAAGAGGAGAGAAAATGGGAAGAAGAGAAAACTGGAGAGAAAATATTATTACCCCTCATGTTTGGACAGACAAGAGAAAACAGAGAGGAAAGAAAATGAGTAAATATGGAAATGACTAAAATACTCTTATCATTATATCAAAATGTATCTTGATTAAAATCAAATTAAATATCATAATAATGAAAAACCATATTTACATTAACATAATCAGATAATTTAAAATCAAAGTATTTGATAAAGTTATATTATCATGTTATTATATTTTAATATCAAATAATTTTGTAAAAAAAGAAAAAAATAACATTTGTGTAATGTAATGCCAAAAAACCAAAACAACAACTCTACTTGTTTCCCCTTTCAGTTCATTTTAGAAGGACTTTTGCAATTTTAGTTATTTTATTTTTCAATCAAACAAACACAGAAGACAGACATGAAAATAATAAATAAAGTGAAAAAATTAAAAAAATAAATAGCTATTATTTTGCTGAAAAAACATATGTAAGGATAGAGAGGGAAATGTGTTTTCTTTTCATTTTCTCTCCATATGTGGAGAGAAAAGTTGGGAGGAAAATGGAATGTGGGATCCACCTCATTTTCTCTCCAACTTTTTTTTTTCCTCCCACTTGTCTTCCCTAATCCAAACAGGGGAAAAACTACTTCTCCCCCATTTGCCTTTCTAGTTTTCCTCCTTCCCTCATTTTCTCTCCATCCAAACATAACATAAGCTCTGAAAATCTGGGGTAACAATTATTATAACTTCCAACCAACAAAACCTGATGACCTAACTTACAGAGTGGAGATCTGAGATACTTTCACAAGAGCACCGAAACAGCCTAGGGACTGTGTTTAGGTCATTATAATCAAGGAACCACGATTATACAACTCCAAGAAGCTCTATTATATTGAAGTTGTGTATTAAAGCAAATGGAAAGGAAAAATAGCGCTTATGAAAAGCATGAAATTACTTCTTTATGCATAGCATTGCTTATTATGCAGAAACCAGGAGTGTGGTGCTTGCATTGAAGCAAAAATGAGCTCTAACAAGAAGTATGTTGATGAAATAAAAATAAAACTGGATAGAGCTCATTGGAAGCAACTAGATTGACTAAATCAATCTCCCGAGCAATTAAAAGAGACTAATTGCAAACATTTCCATTATGAGTACTTTTTTTTTTTTTGGTTGACTCCATTATGAGTGCTTTCATATTACATGAGACTGTTTTCTTAGTTTTCATTTACTGAAGTATTTGTTCTGCCAATTTACAAGCAACAGACAAGGCTAGCTAGAAAATACCTTCTGTAAGTGCAGAACAACAAATGGTACAAAAGTCAGAGAGAAGTAGAGAGGGAATGTTTTCTTAAATGTTGCTGATGTTGCTTTTGCATTGTGAGACAAACATGAATTTGTTCCTTGATGAATGACGGAACAAGGAATAATAGAAGGAAACTCTTCCAACTTCGAATAGCCAGATTTTCCTTTCCCCGATAAATAAGCTGAGAGTGAAACAACATCAACTGGAAAACCTCTGCAATTATCCCTTACAGCCTTATATACAGGCTCTGCAACCGGTCCAGTCTTTTGTATGAAGTCCTGATAGGATTTTGGCAGGCTCTCAGGACGCATGACGAAGGCGTACATAACCTGAAATAAATTGTCAATTGACTATATCACAAGGAATCATAGAAGAGTAGATCCACGGTGACCATGGAACAAGAGGGACCCAGGTGATTGCAGAGTAGATGGGCAAAAAAAGATCAAAGTTAAAATAATATAAGTAAATTAATGTCATCATGATCAAGTGGGGTTCAGGCCAATTTGTGCTGATTGTTTTTTCCTACAATTATTTTACATTCAGAGACGCAGAATACTTCCGAGCTATAAAATCTTTTCCAATTCTGCTTTTATCTGTATTCTATTTTATCCTGCATATCAAAGGATATAACACAAAATTTTCATCCAGGGCACGGAGGGCATTGCCAAACTACAAAATCACATTTTTAATTATATTTCATTCCCCATTATGTCCCATTTAGCATGTCAAAGGAGACACACACACACACACACAGTGCATGTGGGCAAGTGTACGTGTGCTAACTACATATGTATCAACTTAAGCTGTCTATTGTCTACGAGGCAACATTTTTTTGTCACAGAAAAGTTCAAAGGAAAAAAAAAAAAACCAAGTACAATATTTGAGCATAAGGAAACATGGATCCTCCAGAAATACATATCGACAAAGTTTACCGGCTCAAAATAGCAACAAGGAACAGATAAAATCAGTCATTGCTTTCACCATATCAACTATGAGCTATTCATCCATTTGAAGCCTAAACTCAATTGTCCATGAAGTGTTTCCCCAAAACGCACAAAAGCTACAACCACTTGACACAGCTGCAAACAACTAAAATGCATTTATCTAACATCCATCTCAGTGATATTTCTTTTACATCTCAAACATACCTAATTTCAACCATTACTCCACCAAAGGATCCAACAGCTAGATGCCTTCACTGCATGTTTTGCTGCCAGAACAACCTTGTATTCAGATTTTGGATCCATGAAGCTGACAAAATGACCAGTTTGGGCCCTACCCCTCCAACTGTGTCCAACATAAAAAGGCAAACTACATTATGTTCCTTTCAATCTAATTACTTCATATACTATGAGGAGTGTCAAACATGGTGATCCATTATCTCCATCTTTTTGTTCTCGCAATTGAGAAATTAGCCCATCTTATCCAGGAAGAGGTTGACGGGGTAAGAGCATTTTCAGGTCTGTTAGAATGGCACTCCAATTTCACATTTGTTTGTTTGCTGACATTCTCATAAAAGCTTGAGAATCCTTTTGCAAGGCATCTGGACAGCATGCCAACACTACTAGGACCAGGGTTTTTTCCTCCAAGAATGTGGAGCATTCGGGTGAAAGATCTCAATGAGCAGAGGATTCCAACCTCTTAACTTGGGTAAGCACCAAGGTTTGCAGATTCATCAAGGTAGAGTCAAGAAGGCCACATAGCAGAATATCATAGACAAGGTTAGTTCTCATGTTTCTAATTGGACGGCAGATAACCTCTCCGTTGCAGGAAGAAAAACATTAATATCATCAATTATATTGGCCATGCTATATTATATAGAATGAAATCAACCCCTCTTCCAGTTGGTATTTATGATGTTATTGAGAGCGGAAAAACATGACATTTCTCCATAGTAGTGCCAGCAAACAAGGGGTGCATCTAGTAGCATGGGATGAAGTATGTGAACACAAAGAGGCTGGTGACCTACAAATGCATCATGCTAGAGCCCAAAATTGTGCTTTCACAAAGTCAACATGGGGATTGATATCGAAAAAAGATTATTTGTGGTTAAAATTCTGAAAGAAAGCATAGATGTGGCAGTGACATGATCCCTAGAGTTGCTTGAAGAGTATGGGATCAAGGACATGGTTGAGCATTAAGTTTAGATGGAAGCATATGTTAGATTGATCAAAGTTTGGAGAATGGTACAAATGTGAATTTTTGGAAAGATATGTGGGTTCCACACTTAGAAGCGTTGGAGAAGTATGCAGTGGTGCCAATTCATCAAAAAGAGTATAACTCGAATGTGGCAGGTGTTGTTTCAGAGATGGGTTATTGGCTATGGAATAAACTGAAACTCTGCCTCCCTGAAGATATTCTCAATAGAATCCTTGGGATTGAATTAGATAGTCATCTAAATAATCCTAACACTATTCCATGGAGTTTAACTAACAAGAGGATGGGCACAGTGGTAGAGTGGATAAATGCTTCACCGTTATCTGTTGGAAGATTTGGCACCAAAGGAATCTGAGGGGGATGCTCAGGCCAGATTGGTGTGGAATAGCTCATCACCAAAGGAGTAAGTAATCAATTGAAGCCAAGCAATGATGAGGTGAAGAAGAGAGGAAACCACAGTGCTCGGGTACCACCTTAGTGGAATTACATTGAGGTAATTAATGATGGGCCCTACATTAGATCGGTTGGGAATTGTGGCTATGAAAGCGTCATACTTCACCATATGGGACTGGCCATCAAAGGCTTCGGCTGCTTAATGGGTTTGGCAAATAGTCTGAGCGCAGAATTATGGGCTTGCATGCTAGGCCTTTTGTGCATGGGATTCTGGAGCAAGGACGATTGAACTTAAATCTAAGTATCTAGAAGTGGTGTAGGTAGTGCAACGCAAGGTGAATGGCTCTCATCTGGACGGAGATCTAATGCTGGAGATTCAGCATATGATAGCAAGGGAATGGATTGTTTGCCTGAAATTGTGCTGAAGGGATTCAGATACAGTTGCTGACTATCATGCAAAGATGGTCTTAAACAATGATTAAACCCTTTTAATTTGTAAGAAGCCTCTTTGCTTTGTGTCCAATCTCAACTCCACATAAAATGGCTTCTCATTGTTGGGGTGTGCTAACCATCTGAACATGCGTTTTTACTATTAAGATATTACAACAGTAAAAGTTTATTACATGAGTAGTCTATGCTATTTATGAAAACAATAACTCCTAGTTATATTGGCTGCTCTACTGATAACTTTCTTCCGATACATGTATAGATGACCAAAACTAAAAACCTGTATAGATGCCAATAGCAAAAGATCACAACTGAGCCAATATAAAAAATCAAAATGAGGATTGAATACCTGTGCACAAGCTATAGCAAAGAGCAAAGAATCTCCATGTCTCCAATGACTTCCCCAAAGGTGAAACTTGTTCTTGGCTTTGGCAGAATTATAAGCACACTGATACATAACAATATCCATTAGACTTGTGTGTGCAGATAAGTCTGAAGAGAGGACAAACATAAAATGTGTCATAGTTCAGATGTCTCGGAAAAATTAGTTTGTAATACACTTTCAAGTACCTGAGCTAACCGAGCTAGCAGATACAAAGCTAGCGTACGCCTCCTACTTGAATCATTTAATGCCAGGATAGAAAAACCAGCAATTGAACCTGCTAAAATTCTGCCCCATCATCCCCTCAAACAAAGTCATAATTAAGCGATGTGTGCATAACACCATGAAGCAACAACCAAGCATCACAGACCAGATAATAAATTTAAAAACCTTGTGAACAAATTACAAAAGAAATGAACTTACGTATTCAGTGGAACCTCCTTCTTTCTCCATTTTCTCAGTAAACATCTCAGGGCATGATAACATCCAGTAAAACCACCAAAAAGTAGACCAATACGACATGCTTCTTCTCTTACAATAAGATCTCTTTCTGAAACAAGTTGCTGTGGGGGGAAAGGAAAAGCATATCATCACACATTTCTCCCTTTAGTACTAAAATAAGAAATGCAACGCAAATTATGGTTACTACTTCCATCAAATATACATTATTACTTAACAATGCAAAGATAGAAAGACAAAAAAGTCCTTCGATATTCTTTGCCACAAAGTCCACCTAGGGTAAGTTCAGTTGGACTCGATTAGTTTGGGATTTGGTAGAGGTCCTAATGAGTTTCATTCACGCAAAAATAAAATAGGCATACTCACAACAATCTTACTCCTTATTGCCGAAAAGGAGGCAATGAGTTTTCTATAAGCATAAAAATCCCACGTCCAACATCGCCACTATTTGATTAAATCAAAAGGGCAACTTTCCGCCCTAAATTAATTCAATTCTACCATTGATCCCAGACAGAAGGAAGTTAAAAGCAAAAGCCAAACAGCAACATCAGTGATCACAAAACCGCCAAGCTCCAATTCACTTCTCACCTTAAGATCAAGAAGAGAAGAGTACGACTGCCGCCGTGCGAGCTTAAACGCGCGAAGAAGAATTCCAATACCGACCCGGACGCCATACGAAAGCAGGAAGCTCTGGCAGAGATTACCTATAGCATGGGCGACACATGATTCGCCAGGACTATGATCGCAGGGAGGGCAATCCAGGTGGTGCTGATGGTGCAGGCGAGCAGCGGCACGGCGCTGACGACGCTGCAGCTCCTCAATTGCCTCACGGAGGCGATCCTCCGCCTCGTGAAGGCGGCGCTCGGCGTCGGAATTGTCTTGGAGCGGCGGCGAGGGAGGAGAAGATACGGTCATATTGGAGCAGCAAATGGAAGCAATCTTGTGGCATCTGAAAGCGTTTTCGGAGGAAAAGCGAAGATGAAGCTAAAGATGCATAACACAAGAAATGGCCTGCGTGATCAAAATAAAAAGAGTCATCATCCGCATTCTTCAAGCGCAATTAATTACGCAAATTTCTATTTGCGATTTCAGGTTCGGCCCTTCGAGTTTTGAGTACGAAGGTGTTTTTTATTTGTTATATTTATATATACTATTTACTTTCATTTTATATTTCGAAATTTAAATTTAAATTTAAATTATTTTTAATTCAATTTTTCGGCTCAGTGTTTTATTAAGAAAAAAAAAATTGTGTTGTTATATCATGTGTACAATATTTTTTATTGTATAGAAAATTAATTGATTCTGCAAAGATAATTGAAATTTGTTTAAGAAGTCAGGTTCAATTTATCATCAGCAGATTTAACTTTTTCCCAACTTTATGCAATATATGGAAAAAATATATATGTATGTTGCACATAGTTTTAGAAAACAAAAAAAATAAAAAGTAAAAGTGACCACTAGAAATGCATCATACTTTAAGCATAGACATAGACAAAGGTATGTTGCCTACAGGAGTTACATCTGCTTACGTTTTTTTATTCATATCATTTTTTGGGTACTTGGATAATTTAAGAAGCATTTTTAGAAAATACTTTCCCAAAAGTCAAGATAAAACATCAACGGGGTTGGGTCTAGTAGAAGGGATTAGTCTCCCACAATGTGATAAACCAAGTTTCAAATCTCTACTGGAAGAGATGTCCATATTTAGTGCACAATAATACCTCGAATAAGATTACTTCTAATAGAATAATATCTATGCTTTAACAAAAAAATCGAGATAAAACTTCTCTCATATGTTTACTTTGTATGTTAAAAATTACTTTTAAAATTATGATTTTATTTTTACTCAAATACTCTCTTTATCATTATCAAACTTGCAATTTTACGGTATAAAAGAGTCAATATTATTAGACCAGATGACCTTGACCTGTTCAAATCATTTACCCACACTAATTTTTTTTAGGAGAATTACAATCAAGTCTCATAAAAGAGAAATAATTACTAAAAGGTTCCAATAACAACATCAGCAATTATAATGACAAATCATACAATGAAAATAACAACATCTGGGATTTGTTTTTCAATTGTTTTTCTTGCTTATGCCTTATTGTAACTCTCTTTTTTTTTTTGTGAGATACCGCACTAATTTCGATAAGTCAATAACTCATTTTCTAGTTAAATCAAATTAACTTAAATTTGTTTCATATTTATTTTCAACTGTCGTGATGACCTTCTTCTAGTTGTGCTGCTGTACATCCGTGATACTTGCTTCATTTTTTTTTTTTTTTAAAGTTACCGACCGTGCACTGTACCTATTCCGTAAGTCCACATCATCATTTCACTGCAACAAATTTCAATACAGAACTAATATTTTAAAACAAATTAAATTTTAGGAACTAAACTATAAATTTGAAATTAAATAAATTAAAACAAAAATAAATCCAAGAACTAACATTTTAAAACAGATTAAATTTTGGAAACTAAAACTACAAGTCTGAAATTAAATGGATTGAAACAAAAACAATCCAAATTTCAAAGACAAAAAATTATATTAACTTTTTTAGTGGTGTAACCATGAACACATCACAAGAGTTAGTTACCCCTTCAAATGAAGACAATAGGAATACTAAATTTGCCGTGAAGTCGATGGAGCCTTCTTCTGCGTGCACCGAAAGCTGCTTGCGGAGGAATCATCATGAATGCGGTGCAGGTAGTCATTGAAGGGTTCACTCAAAAACTGGAACAAGATGATCACCTTACGGCGGAACTTTGGGGGTGCTTGTTGGGGTTAAAGCGAGCCTGGGACCTGGTAGAAAGAGACATTACTTTACGAAGCGACTCAGCTGAAGCTCTTCAGGTTATTACTGGTGCAGAAAATCCCCTCCATGAGGACTGAAACGTGATTTCTGAAATCAAGAACATGATGAAAAGGGAATGAAAGGTGGAGCTGCAAGTAATCAGCAGAGACTCTAATAACATGGCACATGCATTAGCAAAGAAGGCGCTGCAAGGAGATGTTGGACTTCAGATTCTGAACAAGGAATCAGTGCTGGAGTGTATAGCGTCCTTGGATATTACTTAGCCCTTCTTTCTCTGGTCTGGTTTCCTGTTTTGTTCATTTGCTTTCAGGTGTATCAAAATATATATATATATATATATATTAACCCTTTTTATTTTCATTAATTTATACTTGTAATTTTCTTATTTATGTATAAATTAATTCACTAAATATACACTTGGTTCTTTAATTTTATATGGTTTCAATTTGATCCCTTAACTTTAAAAAGTATACTTTTAGTCTTTTAATCCTTTTTTTTTTAAAAAAAAAAAGACATTAAGATCTGAAATGTTGATAAAATATTCTCAAATACTAATATATTTAATTTTCAAAACATCCAAAATTGTTACAAAAATCATCATTGAAATCTAATAATTTTAGAGTTAAAAGACCAAATGTATGCTTTTTAAAGTTAAAGGATTAAATGTATACTTTAGCCAAATTAATTTAATATTTTAATCTTATTTATTTTGCATGTTTTTATATTTGAATCGGATCGATTAAGTTAGATAGATGCGATATGATATGCTACAGGAAATTAATACAGTGCATCCGAGTTCCTCGTTTATGTGTGTATGTATAACTCCTCATTCTAAACTTGCCTTAACAACACAAAAGAAACAATGGCTTCTTTCTTCACCTCTTCCTTACTCAAAAGAACCCCAACACCAAATTCTGTCATTGCCGCCTCAAAATCTTTGTCCTTCAATTCATCGCCCAAAAAGCCGCCACCGCGATGGTTGTTGGCCCTTGCCGTATGGAACCCTCCCACCGCCTCCTACTATTGAGGATTGGTTGTGAGATTCGGATTCGGATTAAAAAACTGAACCCTCTTCTCCAAGTGAGAAGGTTGAAAATCTTCCTCCGACTTGTCTTTAAGCGGAGTTGCTACAATCGCTTCGCTTGATTCGGAGATTATTATTTTGGTTCTATAACATTTTTTTGGGAAAGGTCCATAAAAAGAATATTTTCTAATTCAGCATCTAAAAAAAGTTAATTAAAATTAAAATTTTGAAATTCAAATAAAATGACAAAAATGCCCCCTAATCCCATTGAAACAACTTGTTATTAATCCCAAATTGTAACTTATTATTTCACAATCAAAACTTGTTATTCCTAAATAAATTATTATTCATAAAAGGGAATTTTTGTTATTTTTCTTGAATTTCAAAATTCCAATTTGGATTTACTTCTTTCTATATCATTTTAAAATATTAGGTGCCTGAATTGAAAAATGTTAGGGAAAATGACTAGAAAATACATTGTGAAAATCAAAAAGACAAGAAGAGAATCTAAATGAGTAAAATGCCCAAATGATCATGAGGTATGAATTTGAAATATTCAAATTTTGCTAGAATGACTAAAATGCCCATGAAGTGAGAGAAAAACAGCTGAAGGTGAAAATACTCAAAACAGAGCAAGACGTTGAAACAACATGCGAATAATGAAAACTGAAAAAAGAAGGCTTAAAGCAACACATCCAGAGCTGAAAAGAGAGAAGTATGAGTCATTTATCTTTCTAAATGCTGTTATCTTACTCCTTCAACTATCATCATTCTACAGATATTGTTCATTTGGATGGATGATGATGCTTCTGTCGTTAAAGCACTCAATTAAACTAGGTCCTAATTGATTTGTAGTTTAGGATCGACCTAGGTCATTACTTCCAATGAGCAATTTATGGGTTTCTTTAGGTAAAAATTCAGGTGATAAAAAAAATGCAATAAATTGGACCTAAACTAAAATGCAAAATTCTAATCCTAAATGGAAAATGCAAATGTCCTAAAATCTATATGAAAATTAAATTAAACTAAATAAATGCAATGCAATTTTTGGGGGGTTTTTTTGAAGGAAAATAAAAATAATTAATAAAGAAAATTAATCAGAAAGCAAAGAGAATTAACAAGTAAAAATGGAAAAGTTCTTTTCAAGTAAGGTAGAGGGGACAATTTAGGATTTGCATGGATTTAATCTTCATAACCTTAATTAGTTAATTAGACCAAAGGGAAGTGATAGGAGAGTGGAATTAATAAACTTAATCACCTATTTGAAACAAAGGGAACCCTCAATTTCAAAAACCCTTAAACTATTAGAGAACTCATAACAGTATAAGGTTGGTTAATTAAACTTATTAAAACCAATAAAAAATAACTCAATTAATTCTGGAAATTATGTTTGAAATTATCCAATTAAACAATTAGACAATTAGCCAACTTAATTAAACAATTAAGAGGCAAAAGAACCCAAATTTTGTAATTCAAACCACATTGATAATTAAACTCATAATGAAAACTCAATTATAAATTCAATTAACAATGCAAAGGTTCCAAACATAAATTCAAACAAGTGTCTCGGCACAAATAAGATCCAAATATCAATTCAATCCAAGAATAAAATTGACAATCTAGAACTAAATTGTCTCAACAAAAATACAACTTGAACTCATTTAAAACTAAACAATTTCAAGTCCTTGAATTAAAAAGATAAATGGAACATCACTCCCTTGTGGTCTTCAAGTGCTAGCCCAAAGCTCTAGTCTCCTCCATGCTCCTCCCAAGTTGCCTCCCTATAAGCTTAAGCTTCCATCAAATTGTCTCCTCCTCCAAGCTCCTTAGTGCAATTCATGGGTGTGTGACGCAATGAATAGTGAAAGTGATGTTGGGTGGATAATCGAGAAGTGGCGTGACTGGAGGGATGGAGAACAATGAATATTTATTGGTAAGAGATGGAGTAGGCGTTGAGTTCTTCCGTGGGTGTGTATGGAGAAGGAAAGAGTGTCATCTTTAGGCGTGCCTCCCTCCTCCAAAAATAAGGAAAATAGTATAATGAGGGAAAAGGAAATTTTTACGGATCCAAAGCTCAAGCCCATTAGTATTTAATTGACCCACTTGATATTAGCCATTGGATTATGC